ACCACCGGAAACCCCCGGCGTGGCTGCTGAACCAAAGCGCCTGTGTCAGCACAAATGAACGTTCTCTCAGTCTTCAAAGGGCGACTAGTGACAGAATCCAACCACATAATAGGCCCAGGCGTGGAAGGTCTTATCAATGCGTACGCATTCACTTGTACACTAACACCACTGGCTATCTTAAACATAATTGTTTTAACCTTCCTCTTCGAAAATATCCTTTTTCGCAGCTGATTCGCCATATCTTCTAATTTTTCATCGGCAGAGCTCAGAAAGAGAGGCATCTCTTCGCTTTCCAGACCAAGCAAATTGGCATATAAGATTGAGACATCAAATTCTTTGCCGCCTAATGGAAGAAGCTCCATGGAGATTCCAAGTTCCTGAGCATCTTTTGCACGCTGTAGTGTAGTTCTGATCATGTCTGCCTTCACTGATCCATAAATGTTTCCAAAAGGATTGTCTTCGTTTGTGAAAATGAGTATTCTCATGCTCACATTTTTTAAAGAACCTTTCCTCAGCAACGCCTGTGCAACCCAAAGAGCGTTGTACAAGGGATTCTCCCTTGATGCAGGCTCAATCCAATATCGACTGCCTATATGATGCATAAAACTATCTTCAATGCTGCTGAATTCTTTGATTAATCTTGCTGTGGGTCTATCAAGAAGCTCTCTTTCCGCAACGTTGAACACAAAAACGCCATGTAGATCCTGAATGTTTTTCTTCTCCCTAGTGTTGAAGAAACAGATCGAAATTTCATCGGACGATCTGCCGATGATTTGAGCCTTGAGAGATTCAGAGATGCATTGGACGGCAGCATGAAAAAAAGTTTCCTCCTTTTCATCTTCTTCAGTTGTTCCGACCGCACGAAACATCTTGGGAGACGCGTCAACGAGGTAGACAGAGAATTCTTTCGTGGACTCCCTCTGATGGAGTAAGTCTGAGTCAGAGTCGGAGTCGTCGCGGAAGATACCTTCGGGGTCTAAATCCATAGCGGCGGCAACAAAAGAAAGAGGAAAGAGGTTTCGATTTCGAATAGAGGTATGAAGTTACCTTAACAATATCCGATTCGTAACCGCGCCGCTTCCTCGCCAACCCGAATCGCCGGCACCTCGCTGGAAACAAGAAGAGGAATAGGGTAGAAAAGGAAGAGGGAGCACGCCATGGTTTTGGTTAGGAGGGCTTAAGGACAAAACTTGCTCCTAATTGTCAGCGGTTTCCATTTCTACTTCCGGAGGAAGGAATCGCCCAAAAAAAAAAAAAAAAAAAAAAAAAAAAAAAAATCTATAAAAACGACCTTCACGGGGAATTACAAACACATTGTCGGGAAGAACTCTTATTCGGCGCATATTCAATTCATTAATTAACAAGTGGAATACAAATATTTTTATTTGCTTGATGAGTCGAATACGAACAAAGATTTGTTTGTTCATGTTCGACTCATTTTGATTCGAAATACTATTCATCAATTATACATATATGTATTGATGAGTAGTATTTTTAAAAAAATTAGTGTCTGTTTGGGGTTGTTGTAGCTTATCCAATAAGCTAGTTTGCAGTAGCTACCCCAGGAAGCTGTTGCGGGAAAGATTACTGACTGTTTGTTTTGTACAGTTTAAAAATAGATGTGTGACAGTTGTTTTTCGATAAATGATCATTCTGTCACTGTGTAGTAATGTTGTTTGCAACAAAACTATCATAACAATATATTTGATACTTGAAAAGCAAAAAACTACTTCATAACAGTAAAAATAAAACACAGTTCACATAACAATGAGTATCAAGTGTAATAAAAAAAATAAAAAAAAGTACGAAACTTACATTTTAAAAATGGATAATATTAATTTTAAAATCTAGCCAGCGTATGTCCCAAACTACGTCGTCCTCCAGGGATGTCATCCAACCCCGATCACTATCTACAGTGGAATCTACTAGATTGTCTGTCAACCGGAAGAAATCACACTTCTCCAAATTGTCTGCCCACCGCAGGCACCCATAGAACTTTCTCCCGTAGCGATGTGCTCAGCGTGATATCAGTAGGGAAGGCTGTAGTCCGCAGTGGTAGAGCACTCGTCAGGAGGTTCCTGAAATCCTGGAGCTCATTTTTCCTGAATGATTAAAAAGACAATTCATTATTCATAATAGAAGGTGATCTCACTTGTTCTTTAGTTGCATCATGTCGTACTATTTGCCTGTATTTTCCTTGATTTTTTTGGTAATATTTTGCCAACCTACTTTGTTGAAGAAGGTTGTGGGTCTATCTCTAAGATCTATTTCTTTTAGACAAATGTCACAAAATATTATTTTGATTTTCCATCCCACAGTGCGGGTGTAACAGTCTCTTTAGCCTTAGCCATTGTATTGTTATGATAATAAGATGAAAGATAAGTAAATGAAAATCCAACAATTTATGCATAAGTCAACAATCAATCAGCCTAACCCACATCCACCAGCCCAACACTAAGTAATATGCCCCAACACAACATAGCCAACACAAGAACCACCCACCACACACCACAGCCACATGCAACACAACAACCAACACCATAGAAACCACCAACACACCACAATAACCACATTCAACACAAGAACTACCCACAATATAGTCACGACCAACACAACAACCAGAGCCCCAAAAACCATCAACATCATTGCCATAACCAACCGAAGAACCACCTACCACACACCACAACTAACACACCTTAAATCACCAACACACCACAATATTGATAGCCAACAAAAGAACCTTTCATCCCCCGCACGGCTAGCATAATTATATTAACCAAAAACCCCACCAAATCTACGACTATAGCCACCACAAGCTCTACCCACCAAACACCACATGCATCACAAGAACCACCAACTCCTTTACTATAGCCAAAAGATGAACCACTCACAACACACTGCCACCACAACCAACACAAGAACCACCAAATCCCCAACATTGACAGCTAGAAAAAAACAACATATGAATCGCTGGATTGGGGAAAGGAGAGGATATTTGGCGGGGAGGAACAAAATCTGAGAGGTAGGAGAGATGAGTGAAGGTTTGCCGAATAGCAGAAGAGCGATAGGGAGGGATGGCTTTGTCAAACAGTAGAGGAGCGTGCAAGATTTGGCGTTGAATAGAGGGAAAGGGAATTAAGGCAGGAGCAACGAAGGGGTAACCATTGTAATATGCTTCGCTCGACTGCTGGCCACGAGGTTTGATTCGTGACCCGCGTTTAGCCAAAATGGCGGGAATCAAACAGACCCTTAATTGATTACAAGGCTACAAATAGTTATAATCAATTAAAATTATTAATTAAAAAAAATAAAAATATATTAAATTATATTTAAATGATGTTTTAAGATAAATAATAAGATTTAAATCTTGCCCTAACCCTTAAACATTCTACGGATGCGTGATTAAAGTTATCAAAACAACTTTTTGTTCACGAACAACTCGAGTTCAACTCGCTAAGCAAACGAGTCGAACACGAATATATTTTTTATGTTTGAAATATAAACGAGCCGAACACAAACAATAATTTTTTTTAACGAGCCGAACACTAGTAGAGTCTGAGCTCGCTCATATTTGGCTCGTTTACACCTCTAATTACAACAAGTGTATCCACTAAAAATCTATAAAGCAACCCCTCACAGTTTTATTTTTGAAAATGTACACGCCTATCATCCAATTGTTATGCATCTCGCATTTAATGTTTCATTTTTTACAGCTATCTATGTATCAAAATATGAATTTTAATGTAACAAATTCTTTTGGATGTGATTGAAAATAATTGGATGCTTAGCCGGTAAAAAAAAAATTAAGTGCATATACTTAAATGCATGTGAGTGAATTTCCTTGGACTTTTTATGTAAATAACACTCAAACATTATTATTTACAAATCTAACACTCTTTTTCATCCACTTTTAAAATTCCCGCTCGAATTTCAAAATTCACGATGAAAGCTAAACCCATATCTTTCAATTTTGTCACCTGTGTGTTCGATCTTATAAGTATCAATCTTTCGGGTGTCATGGATGCAATTAGCTCTAAAATGAATTATTTATAAACTACATTATAATTATACTGTAAAGATAAAATTAATTGGTATAATATGGAAGATTTTCATATCTACCACAAAATTCTTATGTAATTGCACATCTAACTCCTAAACTTTATTTCTACTCCCTTACAGGCTTGCTTCCTGACCCGACCCGTAATTACACAGATATTTATATTCCAAAAGATCGCAAAAACCTTGACAAAATTTATATTTAGAGGCTAGTGTGAACAATTGAAATGTTATAAAATTTAGAATAATAGTTTTCACACTATGGTTACTACGCAATTATGTGTATCTTTTCAAGTAATATAGAGTTTTCTTTAAAAACCTAAGTATTGAACTCGCAAGGAAACAGTAGTTCTTTGTATAGACTTTAGTGAAACTTTTATTTAAAACTGCAGAAAAGTATTTAGAAAATATAATAACGAGTTGAGGTGTTACTAAATTCCTCCTAAGTTTTAAATTAAAACTAAAGATAAGTGCAGAGATTATAAACAAACTAAATGTAAAAGAGTTCAAGTTATGTATCTTTCTCCTTGCAATGAGTCTATAATTAGTGTAGGAATCAGATATTTAAATGTTTAAAATGTTGTATCGTGACAAATAAGAGCATACATGTTCTTTCTCCTCTCTGAGTGCATAATGAACATTAACTAATCTAAAGTTAGTTCCTGATTGTATGGTTATGTTGGCTAGGTTCTATTCTCTCACCTCTAGATTACCCATTGTACCCTCTCTATAGGACTAACCAGGGACTCAAGTTCACTCTCTAGACCAAATTGGTAAAGGATCTAGCCTGTCAACCTAGAAACACCAATTCTACCCTCATCAAAACTTATCACCCTATATATCTGCACTCTCCTTAGATCTCGGTTGCTTTCCATCGTAAGGTTAATGTGGTATTCACTAATTGAGTGAAATCATAGCCCTCCCAGGCCATTATGTTTCACAACAGATTTTAGCATTATAAGTGGCCAGTTTGCAAAGTAAATGAAGAACAGATGAAAATATCATCCCAATTTGTTGACCTCACTTTTAAGAGGATCTACCCTGAGTCAACATCCAAGATCAGGGCATATTCTAAACCGCCCAAATCAATTCAAACTCTCAGGAATTCTTTTGTAAATCTAAGAGCACTATGACCATCAAACCCATCTTAAGGAAGGAGTCTACTAACATTGACTCCTTGAATCCATATGAGGTCCCCCAACTCTAAAAATTAGACTAAATCCCTAATGTGTTTCTTTTGAATCCAAATTTTGATAGCACCCTAGAATGAGCAAATCAATAGTGAGAAACTTTGATTTGGTTACCACCTTGACCATTCGGTCAACCCTCGACCCAATGGTCACCACATTGACCATTTGATCAACTTTGGACCCAACTAGTCCGACCCAATGGTCACCACATTGACCATTTGGTCAACTTTGGACCCAATTAGTCAACCTTAGTCAACCCTTGACCTTATAATCAACACATTGACCATATGGTCAACCCAACATCATATGGCCAATCCCCACATCCAAATGGGCTTAAATAGGCTACCTCATAAAACCATGGAGAAAATAATTTAGCCATAAAAATTACCCTTCTAGCAACAGAAGACAGAAGTAAACCATAAGAATGTGACCAAAATTAAAACACGAATAATGAAACACCAAAAAATACATATAAAAAATCATTAAAATGCTTGTTGAAATCACCAACCAAAATTAAAGTTTCATTTCAGGAGTTGATAAACTAAATGATTATGAAAGGCTGAAGCAGGATAAATGCATCGAAAATCAAACATATATCTATCATCGACTTATTTTTCCTATCGAATATGATTACTAGTATGAACAAATAAACATAAAGAACATACCCAGAGAATCACTTCTCATATGTACTCAAGCCTGCACTAGAGAGCTTCCGTGAGCACTTTACGAGCGTTATTAGAATTCATATTTCTTGCTCTGAGATATATTGACCAAAATCTAGTAGGTTATCTGATAATGGAGCTATTAGCTTCCTGAGTGCATTTAAGTGCATTTCAAATACCAAAATTTATAGCCAAACTTTATCTATAACAAATGATGGTAGATATAAAAAGATTTATAAACAGCAAATAAAGATTAATATAAATCTATAAATAAACTTTCTTTAGCACATCAAGGAAAGAGGCGGTGTGCG